AAAGGATTCAATATGAAATTTATGGCGTACCTTTTTAGGTTGACCGATGACTTCTTTTATAGAATGATTTATTTTCCTTATCCATTAAGGATTGTAAGAGTCATTGGATAGGGTAGTAGTTGTTATTTCTATCTCCTAAAGTTAATCAATACCCTTTGAGTTACGTGGAATTCTTATCTAGTCAAATATTCCGTATCAGTAGCCCCCCATTCCTGTAATCTTGCTTGTCAAGCGTCGGGAATGCCAAGTCCTTCCAAGCTAAGCATGCTTGATGATTACTTTCTTACCCCTTTTAATAAGGGAGTGGATTTGCTTGAGCTTTGTGAGCTTACCCTTTAATAAGGGAGTAATGAACCCCTGGTCTCTTTACAGAGGGAAGAAGATAAAGTTGACCCTTCTTTCCTTTATGGAGGAGAGAGGTGTAGTCTTAATGAGGGTGATCCTTTTAATACGAGAGGTAGTCGTCTCATCTCTCTAGTAAATGAAGGAAGCTTTAATTATCTCACCCTTCCGTGTAGAAGAAATAGTCGGATTCTTGTCCCTTTAATGAGGGAAGAATGTGTTGTTGGCCCCTGGTCCCTTTAATGAGGAAACCTTGAATAAGGTGTAGTCGGCCTCTCGTCCCTTTAATAAGGAAACCTTGAATAAGATGTAGTTAGCCTCTCGTCCCTTTAATAAGGGAAGTAAATTAATACGAGCTTCACTCAGCTCACCCTTTAACAAGGGAAGTAGATTATTATGAACTTTACTCAGCTCACCCTTTAATAAGGTAAGTATATTAATATAAGCTTCACTCAATTGGACCCTTTAAAACGAGAGTAGTTTCTACCGAGCTTCATGAGCTCGCCCCTTTAATAAGGGAAGTTGAATGTCCCGAGTTTCATGATCCCTTTGATAAGGAAAGTTGATTTTCTTGAACTTCGTGAGATCATCTCTTTAATAATAGAGGTTAATTTTCTTGAGCTTCGTGAGATCATCTCTTTAATAAGAGAGATTAAATTTGCCAAGCTCATGTCGCTCAAACTCTCTATAGGCTTTACTGGATTTAAAATCCTATAACAGATGCCCCCATTTCCAAGCTTGCTTGTCACTCGCAAGGAACGCTAAACTGCGTATTTTCTCTTCTATTTGCCAAGTTAGCAAAAGAGTCACAGAGACATTATATAATGCGAACATATAAAATCAATAAATGGTTATACCGGAGTAAATTAATACGTCAATTGAAATAGGACTGATTATTGTAAACATAATCGAATAAGAGGTAAAAACAAAGCCTATGCAGGTACACAAGATATATCAATCTTATTTTTGTGACATGGTGGATGTATCAATTTGTAATATTCAAATGTAACTATAACGATAACAGTTAAAAGGTCAACCCATGAGAGACATTACTTGTCAAGTCATGTAATTAGAATAGGGCCATAACCTTTCCAATGGCTCTCATCATCATATCACAAGGCGTAGTATTTGGTCAAAGATACCCATATGAACCACTTCATTATGTATTTTGTTGATTAGTGGAGAGGCACAAAAGTTTGTTTCTCATAAAATTATTGAACCAATGTATATATATATTTCGATATACATGTTAAGCATGGAACTTACCCAGAAGCATAATCATTGTTGGCAGCGACAATGAAGAAACTACCAGTAGTGGCAAGGTCGGTAGTTAGGTGGTGGTTTTCTAGCCATTTTTAACTGAATTGAACACTTGTACCTTGCTGTATAAGCATTACATTGAGCAGTGTATCATGAAATAATAAAAATGTCACTCAACCATTCATTCCCCATCTTATGCATCGCTATTGCATCAGTATTTTGGGCTTTTTTCCCTCAACTAGCAACTCCGGCTAAGGAGTTTTGCCCTCGAGACAAATAGCAATAACTTGAAATATTCACTATCACAGGTTCAAGGCATGTATTAGAAATTCAAGTCTGTAGCGCATTGCACAAGTGCATATATCATGTTGGTGTCAGTAAAATTCACTATTCCAGTAACACAAATATATGTCGGTTGAAGGATCAAAAGTTGCTTCGGTCTTGTCAATATGAAGACTGAAGTAGAATATCCGATTTTGGTTCAGCTTCAATCCATGCTTCAAAAAGATTGGACAGCTTCACTAGGATGAATGACACTTATTCATAGAATATGAATGAGTAGCTCAGCAAGTAAAATGTCAAATAGAGTGAATGGAAGCATCAAGTCTGGATAAAAGCTTCTGTAGATTGTGATGATGGGAAGCTTGCACTATAATCACTTTCGAGACCAACCGAGCTATATATACAGTTAGAATTAATGGACGATTTCTTCTTGTCCATTGCTCTCATTCTTTTTTTTTTTATTTTTTTATAATTAAATGTCCCTCTCGGTTGTGCTCACTGTGTGTATATCTGTGTATCTATATAGGGCTGGAGCTCTGTTCTCGGGTTGTATATATGTATATATATATATATTGTATCTTTAAAGCTCACCCAACTTTGAAGCAACTGCCTTGAAAATGGCACATATATGAAGTGGAATCACACCAATATTTGTGTCCCAGCAAACAAGTTGATACATCATACTTTCGCAGAAGCATTAAAAAGAAGTGGAACACCACATTAAGTATAAATTCAGACCACATGCTGAAAAACAATATATTGGGTAAGTAAATAAAGAAGTATTTTTTCTTTGTTAATTTCGGCTATTTGATATTTTCTCTTGGTATCCAGAGTGGGAGAATAGCTCATTTACATGATTGCCTTTTATATACACAATTATTCTTGTATATATATATAATACTACATATATCAGTAATACATAATCTCAAAACTTTCATCAATTGACAATTTGACAGGAAAGAATTAACAACTTTTAGGTAGCAATCTGTCCCTCGAAAATGACTCAATATGTCCCAGAGTTTAATTACATCAATGAGCCAACATATAGAAAAGTTCAGGGACTTCAATATGTCCCTCGAAAATGACTCTAATTACTTTATTTGCTTTAATCTCCATCGAGATCTTCGTTGTACTTGTACCACAATTTTAAACCGTTGGGAGAAGTCAACACAATCACACCCAAGTATAATGGAAAAATAATATCATCATCACACCCTAGTTATGTGGGTGGTGCTAGCCATATAGAAGGCAATGGAAATTCAGAAAGTAATAATGAAGTCGTAAGGGTAAGAGTTCTACCAATACAAAAGGAATTAAATAAAAATTTTCAACAATAAGTACTAGGACTTATCTGTGGAGCACTTTGTGTAATGAAGTTGAGAGGTAGACAATTCTCTGAAGTTACAACAAGTGATGGATTCTTCGAGCACCTTCCTGTCTGTGGAGCACTTTGTGTAGTGAAGTTGAGAGGTAGACAATTCTCTCAAGTTACAACAAGTGATGGATTCTTCGAGCACCTTCCTGAATTGCTATTGGGCTTGGAACCATTCCTTTTTTGAGGGATTTTCGTTTGCCTCGGTTGTCTCAATCCTTTGGCAGGGGTAGTAGCCTTGAGCTTTATGAGCTGAACCTTCTGTTTCCTAAGCAGAAGGTCGTAGGTTCGGCCCCTACCTGTATATCCCCAACCCCAAAAAACCAAAATCGGCGATGACCCAATAGTAACAATCCCGCAACACAGACTGGTAGCAACCGATCAGCGACTAAAACACGCAACACGCTTCTTCACAAATGCAATTAGTTGATTACTAAGAGCGGCTCAGTCGGGGATCTAACCTAGTTGGGCTCTGCTCCAGCAGGCCACTTCACAATTAGACAATCACAGCAGATTGGATCAACATAATATATATATTTTTTAAGAGATAAATATACGTTTCCCACAGACGTCGCCAACTGTTGATGCAAAAATCTGCACGGGTTGGAATCGAAGATGTTTCCGACAAGATAAGATAGAAGTGACGACCGGCGTTGTGCCGGTCGGTGCACTCCGACGGTCAAGTTAGTACCTAACAGATGAATATCCGATAAAGGATTCAATATGATATTTATGGCATACCTTTTTAGGTTGACCGATGACTTCTTTTATAGAAGAATTCATTTTCTTGTCCATTAAGGATTGTAAAAGTCATTGGATAGGGTAGTAGTTATTATTTCTATATCCTTAAGTTTATCCATACCCTTTGAGTCATGTGAAATTCTTATCTAGTCAAATATTCCGTATCACTAACTAAACAACCAACATAAGTTCAACATTAATCTTGACTTGGCTGGCATGGGCATGATGGACTCAAATGTTAGTTTATACTTTATAATAGTGATCTCCCACTTAACAAAAAAAAAAAAGAATTACACATGATTTTGTAATGTCATAACTTGGACGGAGATAGGGTTGCAAATGATAGTTTAAGAGAAAAACTAGGTGTGACATTCATTAGGGAAAAAATAAGAGACTCGGAGATATTTCATGAGGTGAGGAGGAAATTTAATTTTTGAAAGGTAATAGAAAGGAATGTGGACTCCATTGGAATTAGAAGAATATTGATGACGAACAACTTTGGTATTTTACGCTTGCGATGTTGGGGTTTATGGTGCCTTTCAAGTCAATAATTGAATATATTCAACATATTTTATTAATAGGTTTCTAATTTTTATAGTGCATGTTTATATACATATATGGTAAATGCTTGTATTGATTGACTTTAGAGTTAAGTCACACTCTTTTGATAAATATTAATAATTTACATAGTCCATTTGACATGTGGTGAACTAATTCAATCCAGACTATTGTTAAGATTTCTTTGTAATATTTAATACACTGTTGCGAGACTATTTTCTTAATTCAAGAGTCTGAGTTGAATTGGTTCATCATGTGTCAATAGACTAGGACAATCTAATAATTTTTCGCATAAAAGAGTTGCAACCTTTAAATTTTAAAAGCTTATTATATGGTTCTAAGACCATTGGTCTCGGCCAATCACTAAGCGACATATAAGCAAACAGCTTATTGACAGTGACATAAAATTCACACATAAAACAAGGCATTTAGAAAAGACGCGTTTTGTGAGTTTTTATTTTTATTTTTTATATTTTATATTTTATATTTTATACGTAATGCAATGGGCCAAACCTAGCCCAAACCACTCGCCACAAGACTCGCCCCACTTCAGCGAGTTAGGTCAATTATTTTTTTCGCCTTGCAAATGAAATCTTAGGTGCAGAAACATGTCCGATGAATAAAATAGCGAACAACAAGCTTCAGGTGACTTGTTTTTATATATACACAGACAAATATGTGTGTGTGACTGTGCGTATATACATATAAGAGAGAGAAAGAGAGGGCTGGAAGATAATTAAAAGAAGTGTCATTGCCTCTCCAAAGTGTAGATATGGTTGTGCTCTCTCTCTTCATAAAGGTATCCGTAAGTCTGCAACTTCTCTTAAGCATTGTGTTAATTTCTTCATTGATTATCCATTTGCTTCCAACAATTTAAGGGCTTCATTTTATTCCCAAACTGGTAGTCAAACCCGATTTATGCAGACTGTCAGAAATCAATTCAGATTTGAGTCCACAAATCTTAATGATGCACTGGCAATGTTTGATGAAATGTCTCAAATGCAACCTCTTCCTTCAATTGTGCATTTTACTAAATTTTTAGGGGCCATTGTGAGAATGAAACATTACACCACTGCTATTTCTTTGCTTAAGCAATTGGAGTCCTCTGGAATAGCTGAGCCAGACGCTTATACTCTAGCCATCTTGCTTAGGGATGGCAATTTGACCCGCCCCGCGGTAACCCGCCCCACCCCACAGTTACCGTTTTTGGCAGTTTTGAGGGACCGTTTTGTTTATTTGGGCGGAGATGGTTTGATGTAATAAAAACCCGCGCGGGTTTGGTGCGGGGGCAGGAAAAGGTCGTCCCGCCCCGTTTAGATACGCAAATTACTTAAATACCCACATTTCAGTAGTATATATATTTCCCATTATATATTAAGTACCCTATATAACAATATTAACGTAAAAAATGAAATTTGCAATGGTGAAGAATTGAAGATGAGAGAAAAAAATAAAAAATAAAAAAAAATAAAAGTAAATCTATTTCAACAATAAATAAATTATGGTTTTAAACGGGGCGGGTACCCGCGGAGGTAAAAATGTTAAACGGTTACGGGGATGGGGTGGAAAGTACCCCCGTTTTGCGGTTTTGGGCGGGGACGGGGGTGGGGTTTTTAAACAGTTGTGGGGGCGAGGGAGGGTATACCTGCCCAAACCCGCCCCCGTTGCCATCCCTAATATTGCTCAATTGTTACTGCCACTTGAATCGGGTGGATTTGGGTTTCTCTGTTCTGGGGAGAACTTTGAAGCTTGGTTTTGACGTGGACAGTAGAAAGCTCACCGCTTTGATGAGGGGACTCTGTAGTGAGGATAAAATAGGTCAAGCAGTAGAGTTGTTTAATGACATGGGTGCAAAAGGATTTCGACCTGATACATTTACTTGTGGAACGATTATAAATGGGTTGTGCAAAACAGGGAACCCAGCGCGGCTATTGAGTTGGTTAAGAAGATGGAAGAGAGAAATTGGGAAACCAATATCATTGTCTATAACATGATCATTGACAGTCTTTGTAAGGACAGATTGGTAGCTGAGGCCTTTGACTTCTTTTCGGAAATGATATATAAAGGCATTTCGCCAAATGTTATTACTTACACCTCCTTAATCCTTGGCCTATGCAATTCAAATCAGTGGAAAGAGGTTACAAGATTATTGAATGAACCAAAAAATCAAACCGAATGTAAGAATCTTCACTATATTGGTGGATGCACTTTGTAAGGAAGGGAAGCTTGCAGAAGCAGTAGAAATAGTTGAAGTGATGATCCAAAAAGGTGAGGAGCCTAATACAGTCACTTACAATGCACTGATGGATGGTTATTGTTTACAAAGAAAATTTCATGAGGCAAAGAAGATATTTGATTCGATGGTTGGTAGGGGTTGTTTACCTGATGTTTGGAGCTATAGCATCTTGATTTCTGGGTATTGTAAGAAGCAAAGAATGGATGACGCTATCGGACTTTTTCACGAAATTTCCCGGATGGGATTGATTCCTGATATTGTTACTTACAATACTCTTATAGGTGGTTTCTGCCATGCAGGAAAACCTCTAGTTGCGCAACAACTTTTAAATGAGATGCGAGCCCGTGGCCAAAATCCTAATGTTATAACATACCGTACTTTGTTAGATGGATTGTGTAAGAACCAATGTCTGGCTGAGGCAATGACCTTCTTTCAAGACATGGAAGAAAGTGGATTGCATCCTGATATTGTGGTTTACAACATACTCATTGATGGTATGTGCAGAGCTGGATGCATTAAAGATGCAAGGGAACTCTTTTATAGTCTTCCTTCCAAAAGGTTGCAACCTGATGTTTACACATATAGTATTATGATCAATGGACTTTGTAAGGAAGGGTTGTTAACTGAAGCAAACATGCTGCTCAATAAAATGGAAGAGAGTGGTTGCTCTCCAAATGGTTGCACTAACAACATAATTGTGCAGGGATTCCTTCGAAACAATGAGATGTTAAGAGCAATGCAACTTGTCCAAGGAATGGTTGAGAAGGGGTTCTCTGCTGATTCATGTACTGTGAGCCTTTTATTAAATTTATCAAAAAATAGTGGATTGGATCAGTCAGTTTTGAAGATGCTCAATAAGTTTCTGTGATCTCTATTGGGTTTGAAAGTTTCATATTTTGTCCGCCTTGTAGCGTCCTGTACGCATGGCCTACTGATGCTTGCATCAGTGTCCTCTTCATGATAGTCTTACACAGGATTTGCAAGCAATGTAATCTGAAGGTTAATGCTTATTGTTCTATGGGAAAGCATACTCAAGGATTGGCACTCAACTAATGCATTTGCTTTCACTCTGTCACCTTGGAATGTTGTTCTAGATAAATCTTGCAATTCAAAAGGTTGAGTAGTTCTATTAATAGTGCTTCGGCTGTTGAAATACTGTTTATAATAATAATAATAATAATAATAATAATAACTGCCTTCTGAGTTATCTCCAGGGGCTATGATTCTTCTGTGGCATTTTCATATATGTAATATCAGAGGTTTGAACTAAAAAAAAAAAACAAAGAAGAAGTGGTGCATGTGTAAGTTCTCTGTTATGGAGTTAGAAGATGGACTATGTTACTCGTGGCATCTGTTGAAGGCAGAGGATTGAATTATAATGAAAAGGAAATTGCAAAAAATGTTACTAATGAATTTTGGAGTTTTGGTCTCCTGTATTCTATTTTTTATGAAGCAATGTTGCAGATGATGTAACATGTTTTGTGATATTAAAGAGAATTTTAAATCCATGAGGTCAAATCTCATTATATCATCAAGCTCTCTCCCTTAAATTAGATCAGTTCAAAATGCTTAAAAATAAAATTAGACACATAATATATATACTTATATATACTAGTAAAAACATACGTGCGTGGGTAACTACCAATATTAATATAATTCAAATAAAATTAAAAAAATAAGATGAAAGGCCTTAATTAGCAATCAACTGCCTTAATTTGATTATTTAGCCATTTCGTTTTAATCAAATCTAGAAATGGTACTGTAATTAGTATCTAGAAAGAAATAAGGACAATGTATAATGACAATTTGAAAACGAATAAAAACATTTGGATATGGTCAATTAACGTACTTCGTTTTAGAATGTATAAATAACAAATTTAATATGAAAGAAATAAAGAAGGTATGGGAGCTTCTAGGTGGAATACTAAGGCTGCTTGCCCTACGTGTTACTGTAATGATTGTTTATTAATTAGGGAGGGAGTGAAGTTGGTAAATTTTTGTGATGGAGGAGAAAAGAATGTTTTGATAAATTTACAGCAGGGGTATGAGTTGATAAAAACACCTGCCTAAATAATAACATTAAGAAGCACAGTTTTAGAAAAGTTAAATATTCCATTAAATGTCAATTATGGACTTCGTATTTTTCTGATATACTTTTCAACATTTACCTTTTGCAGCATAAAATTCAGAATAAAATCATTGATGATGAGTTAAAGGTGGTTCATTCAGGAACTGAAGAGTACAGGGCAGCTAAGCATCTAAGGGATTTATACAAGGACTTTGTGGATCATCAAAAGCGACTTCACTGGAGGTTAGCTTTGGAGGAAGGAAGATCTTGCATTTGAAAGATTAAACATTTGCTCTAGTGAGTATGTCAACACATGAGTAAGGAATTGGACTTGTTATACTACTTGTAGTAATTAGTCATAATTGATGACCTATAACATTTACAGCTAATTTTGATATGTGTGATGTGTGACTCTATCAACTCAAAATGTCATGTAGTGTAACAATACTGTGGTGGGAGGTCAATGATGGAAATGAGTCGAGAAGTTCAGCTTATTTACCTTGAATAGAAAGCCTTTCATATCGTCCTTGCAGGTGAGAAACTATTACATAGTCCCAGGCCAATCATGTGCTGACACATAAGCAAATGTGTCATCTTTTTGTCAGTTTTATCTCACTTTTTGCTTATGTGTCTGCACGTGATTCGCTGGGATCAATGGTCCCAGGACCATGTAATAATTTCTCCTTGTAGATTGTGTCCCTGAGCTTCTTAAATGGAGGCGCGCAGTTTTGTTTTGAATTTGTGATGCGGTCTATGACTATCTAAAGAAAGAGATATGATACATTTGTGAATACATTGTGCACTTGCCATTTCGCCATACTTTATTGGTTGATTTTTCACTTGTTATCTTTTTGGATACATTGCTAGTTTAGAAATATATAGATGTAGATCGCAAATTATCCAATAAAGAAACATCTAATTTTGCTTGGATACATAGCCATAGGTTTTATATTATTGTTATTTGAGCATGTTAACATCAATATCAGTATTAACGCCCTTGTTTTCTTCATGCTTATAGATTGACTAGGATGTTCTCCGAGTTGCAAAGGATCTAGTTTAGTTTACAATCATTCAGGGACGGAGTTCCGAATATTGGCCTACTTGGGGGGCACTAGGAGTGCATTTTGCAGCTTAATACTGTGGTTTCAATGTTATAGCTACTTAGCATGACGTGTTGCAGCTTGAATAGCCTGAGGACATGAGTGGATGGTACCCTATTCACTTAAGCATAAAATTCATAGGTGCTAGCAACACACACTTTTCCTAGTCTCTACGCGTTCCCTTCATAGCTATTTGATTTTTTTTTTTCCCTTAGTTGGGACTCACACACACTGCCTTCACTGAAGTTCAAACTCCTAACCTCCATTTGAGAAGTAAGAACCTTGTACTGTTAGGCCACATGCCTGTTGGCCATAGCTATTTGATTTGATTAGATGGTGTGATGGAAATGACATCTTCTTCATTTTTTTTTTCTTTTTTTAATCCTAACAAATTAAGGAGACCCGTTCAAGTAACTGGACACTCTACCAATTACGCCACTGGGTAATGGTAATGAATGCGGACTTATTTGATTGCTTCTTCTACTTGACCAAAACTTCTTCCAGCAAGCAGAAATTCTTATGTAATCCTTAACACCTGCTCTGTTTAGTAACTACGGATTGACATCATAATCACAGCATACTAACTAAACAACCAACACAAGTTCAACATTGATCTTGACTTGGCTGGCATGGGCATGATGGACTCAAATGTTAGTTTATACTTTACAATAGTGATCTCCCACTTAAAAAAAAAAAAAAAAAAAATCATGATTTTGCAATGTCATAACTTGGACAGAGATAGAGTTGCAAATGATACTTTAAGAGAAAAACTAGGTGTGACATTCAATAAGGAAAAAATAAGAGACTCAGAGATATTTCATGAGGTGAGGAGGAAATTTAATTTTTGAAAGGTAAATAAAAAGGAATGTGGACTCCATTGGAATTAGAAGAATATTGATGACGAACAACTTTGGAGTTTTACGCTTGCGCAGTTGGGGTTTATGGTGCCTTTCAAGTCAATAATTGAATATATTCAATATATTTTATTAGTAGATATCTAATTTTTATAGTTTGTATGTTTATATACATATATGGTAAATGCTTGTATTGATTGACTCTAAAGTTGAGTCACACTCTTTTGACAAATATTAATGATTTACGTGTATCTATGATAGTCCATTTGACATGTGGTGAATTAATTCAATCCAGACTGTTGTTAAGATTTCTTTGTAATATTTAATACACTGTTATGAGACTATTTTCTTAATTGGAGAGTCTGAGTTGAATTAGTTCACCAAGTGTCAATAGACCAGGACAATCTAATAATTTCTAGCATAAAAAAGTTACAACCTGAAATTTTAAGAGCCTACTAAATGGTCTTGAGACCATTGGTCTTGGCCAATTACGAAGCGACATATAAGCAAAAAGTTTATTGATAGTGACATAAAATTCACACATTTGTTTATGTCGTGATTGACCGGGAATAAAAGGCTTATTGACACTAACATAAACGAGGCATTTAGAAAAGCCGTGTTTTGTGAATTTTTATTTTTATATTTATTTTTATTTTTATATGTAGGATCCACTACTTCGAGAAAGAGAGGTAAAAGGGAGGAATGAATGCAATGGGCCAAACCTAGCCCAAACCACTCGTCACAGGACTCGCCCCACTGCAGAGTTTTTATTTTTATTTTTTATATGTAGGATCCACTACTTCGAGAAAGAGAGGTAAAAGGGAGGAATTAATGCAATGGGCCAAACCTAGCCCAAACCACTCGCCACAAGACTCGCCCCACTGCAGTGAGATAGGTCAATTATGTTTTTTCGCCTTGCAAATGAAATCTTAGGTGCAGAAACATGTCCGAAGAATAAAATAGCCAACAACCTTCAGGTGACTTGTTTTTATATATATTCAGACATATGTGTGTGTGTGACTATGCGTATATATATAAGAGAGAGAGAGGGGGCTGAAAGATGATTAAAAGAAGTGTTATTGCTTCTTCAAAGTGTAGATATGGTGGTGCTTTCTCTCTTCATAAAGGTACCTGCAAGTCTGCAACTTCTTTTAAGCATTGTGTTAATTTCTTCGTTGATTATCCATTTGCTTGCAACAATTTAAGGGCTTCGTTTCATTCCCAAACTGGTAGTCAAACCCGATATATGCAGACTGTCAGAAATCAATTCAGATTTGAGTTCACAAACCTTAATGATGCACTGGCAATGTTTGATGAAATGTCTCAAATGCAACCTCTTCCTTCAATTGTGCATTTCACTAAATTGTTAGGGACCATTGTGAGAATGAAACATTACACCACTGCTATTTCTTTGCTTAAGCAAATGGAATCCTCAAGAATGGTAGAGCCAAACGAGTATACTCTAGCCATCTTGCTCAATTGTTACCGCCACTTGAATCGGGTCGATTTGGGTTTCTCTGTTCTGGGGAGAACTTTGAAGCTTGGTTTTGACGTGGACAGTAGAAAGCTCACCGCTTTGATGAGGGGACTCTGTAGTGAGGATAAAATTGTTGGGATTTATATGTTCTGGCATAGCAAATTCCTGTTTGGATTAAAGTGACATATGTTCCTGAAGTTTCTGAAATATTTATGTTTTATACAATTGGTGAATTCAATGTATTATGTTTCGATTCATTATAGAATTGATAGTGTCCATTTGATTGCAAGAGATATTTATATATATGTATGTGATGGCAATCAATGCATAATATATAAATAGTAATCATAAATGGTTCATAGTCAGTAATTATGGATGGACTCATAATTAATTAAGATTTGAACTGGATCCGCGTTAGATTAAGATATATTGCGAGAGTCGTCGTATGCAATTGCTCCTTATCACTGTCGTGGCATTTGACTCTTAAGCATGAGAAAAGTATAAACTCTTTTATTAATTAATAATTACTTTGATTTGTTCGGTGGATTCTTCGGGATCCTAAAACCGACACTTTGGGTAGTTATGTAATTAATAGTTAGAGGGTTATATTTTCAATATTTGCATCATTGCTACTTGTATTTATTTTGTATTGATTATGGTTAATTACAAAGCAAATTCGAAGGCCTTCGTGTGTTTTTAGACAAAATGATTTATTATATATTTATTTATTTAAATTATTATTTTTGTCAAACAAATGTTTTATTGTGATCGAGTCGGAAATAATCAAAGGTACCAAAATAAATATATTAATTAAGTAATCAGATTGATGGCTTTATTTATCCGATAATTAATTATGCATAGAGGGGTCAAAGTGCAATATTGACTCGGAGGTTATTTATTATTTAATTGGAGTTCAATTAATTTCTTTTAGTGGAGTAGAAATTAATTTATAAATTAATTGAATTGAATCCATGGACAAGGCCAATTATTAATTCATTGTAGCCAATAAAATAATAGGCCTAATGGATTCTCACTCATAGCCCAACTTGATATTGGAATCATATTAGATTTGAGACATGTGAATTAGAGATTGAGAAGGATTTGTTGTTTCTTTTTCTTTATCTTTATGTTGCCTATAAATATACACGGTCTATGTGTATTTTAGGTATGATTTTTATGAGAAGGAAAAAGGAATATATATTCTCTCTCTAGAAAATTAGGGTTTATGTTCTCATCTAATGGAGGTTCCCGCAAGCCTATTTTTCCAAGGTCATTCATGGAGGCATATGAGTGATTCCTAAAGGCAAAACAATTATCAAGAAAATGGAGATCCAAGGAGAAGGCATCTTGCTAAGGGATCTACAATAAGTGAGAACATTCACTTTAGAGGAAAGATTTAAAGGTTTATTCAGACCTTTGATGTAAGTATTCAATCCATTAATTGAATGATACATCATATTTTTATTTTTTTCATAAAACTTGTCTCTATGTGATGAATCAAGATCTTTGAATCAAAATCCCTCGAAAAGTTTTTAAAACTTGCACGTTTCCCAATAGTGATATCAGAGCATGGTTTGATTCATTACTAGAGATCATGTTTTTATGAAAACCATCATTCATGGATCCAAAAATTATATTCATATATATTTTTATTGATGTATATTGATGTATGATTTAATATGTTGATATATATTGATACATGATGATGTATGAATAATTGTGAATGAATAATGATGTATGGTTGGGCCATGGATGAAGCTTATAGGTTAAATAAATGTAATTTTATCTTTGGATAAATGTAATTAAGACTTTGATTTAGCCGTTTGAAAGTTCAAAGATGTAATTTAATTTTTTCCATTGTATTTCAAATTATAAATTTATTTAAAGCCATGTAATATTCATCAAAGGTTGCTATGAAGCTTCAAGAAGATCCAAGAAGGTTAAATTAGGCTTCAGGAATTTTCTGGGATTTTTTAGAAATTTTCCCGAATTTTTCTCGAATTTTTAGAGCCTAAATTTAATTTTTCTGGAATTTTTTATAATTTTCGGTGATTTTTCGGCAATATTCCGGCGACTGGTGCGGAGCCGGTGGCAATGGAGGCGCCGGAAGTGCAAGATGTTGCTCCAGTACCTTGCGGTGTACCACCATACAGTGCACTTGGATCCAATATCACTGGATAGAAATCAACATGAGAGGTGTAATCCCATTTGACGTGGCTAATGAAAACTCAAGGCGCAACCAACCAAAGGGCGCGTGAGAATCACTCGCTGGAACAAGTCACCCATCAAACGCGTGCAGAACACGCGCCGAACTCAACTGACCCACCATCAGGCGCGTGCTAGCGCGTGGAACGCGCTGGCCACTTGCTAACGCGCATGTAAGCTCGTGCAGGCGCATGTCACGTGCCTGCTTACCTCCCCAGCGCGTGTAAGCGCGTGGGGACTCTATGGACATTCTCCTAGCGCGTGCCAGCGCGTGGGAAGGTGTTGCTCACTCTCCGGGCGCGTTCCAAGTGTTGTTTTGCCTCCGCAGGTGCGTACCAGCTCTCTGCAGGTGCTCACAAGTCATTGATTGGCCCTCGTGCAATTATTAGAGCAATTAAATGTTAAAAGCTAAATCCATTGGCCATTTAATTTGCTTTTGTCTGTTGTTTATTGATGTATGTGATGCATGGGATAAATAATTGTTGATTAATTATTATTCATGCATTGGATCTATGATATTTAATTAAATGACTTGATTTATATTAATTAAATTATGAAAATTAATTGGATTTAAATACTATTAATTTGAGGGCACTTATTGGGAAACGAAAAATCATTTTTGTAAATTATTTTTAAAGTGTGCCTCAAATTAAATATTAGTGAATCGTTTAAAATCCAAATATTTTCTAAATTCAATTGGATTAAAATCAAGACGTTTTGCATGCATTATATCATGTAAATGAATAAAATGAAAACCCTAATTATAAATGATTAAAAATTGAGTGGGAGCGGGGATTTTTATACATTGCCCCATGGCCTTCGTTATTAAAACCATTATAATTAGATCTTCAAAAATAAGGCCCTACGCATGATTTGAAGAGTCTTAATATTATAAGAATAGTTGTCTCATGAAAATTAAAATATTAAATGTTCATTGTAATTAGATCTTTAAAAATAAGGCCCTCCGCATGATTTAAAGAGTCTAGATTATAATGGCAAGATATTTAATGTTTTATTTTTCATTAGAGCATTAATAACGTTACACACTCAATCTAAAATCAATAGTGTTAGCTCCCCAACGGAGTGGTCTACACTAGGTGATTTTAGAAAGGCTAAATATAAATCGAGAATCATTTCATATGATAGACAAGGCATTGTCTTAAGAGATATGGAAATGATGGGATTTGCCCGCCAATAGTAATAATGAACTTCGCCAACCGAATAAGTTAGTGGCATATTAGTTATCCGATTTTTTATGCAGTGGTTAAGGGACCCACATATTATTATTTTAATGGAAGTGCTCACCTAATAGCAAATGAATCTCTACAATAGTAATAATGAACTCCTCCAACAGGATAAGTTATTGACATATTGATTGGTTGATTTATTATGCTACAAAGTTGAGGGACCCGCATTAATTAAAAGGGATTGTTCACCAATAATGATAATAATCTCTTGTTCGATTGAGATTTATTATATTATGTGGTTAACAAGCTCATTTTAATTTTAAATATGCATGACAGTATTAATAATTCACCTTGCATATTGTATGAATGCATTTATATTCAGATTAATTATGTCTAATCAAGTTTATCTGCTTGCTTACATATTCAATGTAACTGGACCTCATTAATATTGACTGGGAAAGGAACTTAGATATTTTATTCACAACGTAAGGGTATAAATGTATTTACTACTCCTAAACCTAATCCTTTTACTTTAAGATACCCAAGAGAACATTAATGCTTTGAATAAGTGAAATAGGGAAAATGAGATGAATTGGTACAATATTCTAGAGTTTATCTCGAATACGCTCCAAAGCTAACATTTACATTATTTTATTTTCTTTATGCATCATGTTAAATGTCAATAAGATGTTTTGGTGAGATTATATAGAGAGTACGTGAAAGTACTATGTCAGACTTGAATACCATCAAGATAGCCTAAGGAACTCCAGTATGAGATCGAATTTTGTAAAATGATAGTTTATTATTTAAAAAATTAGCTGGAGATCAATAGGGCTGACTTGGGTGGTAAGTTTCAAGTTGACATGATTATTGCCTTGTTACCAAACTCGTTCGACTCTTTTAGAGTGAACTAAATAAGGAATCAGTTTGAGTTCACACTCGCTAATATTCTTATAGAATTGGTAACAAATGAAAGGATAATCAAATAGTATAAGCATTCCTATCAATCTAACCTAGTTTATACCATCTTCTTCTAGACCCAAGTGGAAGGGCAAAGTAAAGAAGAAGGATGATAATAGGACTAGGCTAGCACAAAACATGGGTATCCAAAAGGTTAAAGGGAATAAGGCAGTGTATGTTGAGGGTAAAAAAAACTGTTTCTTTTGTTGCTAACTGAGACACTAAAGGACAAACTGTCTAAGCAATGACGTGGCATAGGAAAATATATATTTAATCATTGAGCCATGTTATGTGGTTGTATCTATTAATTCCTGATGAATAGATTCTGGAGTTACTAAACATGTTTGCAATTCATTGCAAGGATTTCAGGAATCCAGAAGCCTCGATGATATGGAATATATTTGTACTTGACCTGATGTCAAGGTTGTAGCTAAGTCAGTGGGAGTATTACATCTAAAATTAGAGAGTATGAGGATATTAGTATTAGAGAACTATCTTTATGCACAGATGTTAGACGCAATCTCATTCTTATTTCGCTTTTGGTTTATAAAAATTGTGTTGTTGTTTTCTAAAACTGGTTTTATAAAATTGAATAGATATGCGATTGCTTCTGGTGCATTGAAAGATGGTTAATATACTATAATCACAAGCTCTTAAGATTTGCAGGATGTAGAAACTAATGTTGCATCTTCTAGATTGAATGTTAAGAGAAAATTTGTTATTTCTGACTCATTGTATTTTTAGCGTCTATTTTTGGGTTGTAATCAATCAAAATGAGATTCAAAGATTGGTCAAAGAAGGTTTATTACCTAGTGAGGCAGAGGAGCCTAATCCAAACTTGTGAACCCTGTTTTGAAGGATAGATAACTCTAAGGGCTTAATCAGCCAGATGAAATAGACATAAAGGACAATTAGAGTCGGTACACACTGACACGTGTGGTCTTATGAACATCCAAGCAAGATTACTCACGTTTTGGATAAGTTTATCTGATGCAACACAAGTCTTAAACTCTTGGTATATTCTGAGAAGGTCAAGACTGATGTGGAGCACAGATTAAGTAAACTTATCAAGATACTTCGATCTGATCGAGGAAATGAGTATTTCTTGGGATAATGCAAAGACTATATGGTTAATGAGGGTGTTGTGTACCAGTTTTCCGCAATTGACGCTAAATGCATTTAGGTGTCAAATAAGAATAACAGAATTCCACTTAACATGGTTAGATCTATGATCAGTTATGCCACATTATCTCTTTCATTTAAGAGTTTAGCGTTAATGACATCGATGCGCATTATGAACTGCATTCCATCTTGATCTGTCTCAAGGATACCGTTGAGCTTTGTTTTTTGACTAAATCTTAGTTTGAATCATATACGCATATGGGGTATTCTTGCACATGTGCGCTTGATATGGACAAGTAAGTTGGAAACAGATCATACGCATGATAGATTTGATAGTTACTCTAAAAGTCACTAAGATGGTTTATTTTATGATCTCAAAGATAAAAGTTGATTATTTACACTCACTGTTTATCTATAGGAGAATCATATTATGAATCACATACCTAGTAGCATAATGTTAGAGAATATGGTATGAGTACCAAATGTACCACATGTGAACACACTTATTATAAAGATTGAGAATAATATATGAATTCCCTATTGATGCGTCAGCATCATCAAACACACAGATTTCTGCATTGGTACATTATTGTAGTGGGAGGATTATCATCCAATCCGATAGAATCATGTTTTTAGGTGAGATCGTTATGGACATCCCTGTTAAACATGAGTTGGACCCAGTAAGCTACACGGAAGAGTGAACCGATATGCATACAGATCGTTTTGGCAAGTTACTATGAAATCAGAGTTGGAATCTATGTATTCTAATAAATTTTGGGATCTTGTAGAACTTTCTAGTAGGGTGATACCTATGGAAGGCAAGTTAATCTACAAAAAGATACCAGAAAATTTCTTAGTGAATAAATCATGAGTGTACAAGGGAATGTCATTATTTTTCTGATTCTATATATATTGATGACATCCTACTCATTTATAATGACGTGGAAGTTTTGTCATCAATAAAAAGGTAGTTGTTCAATTACTTTTAAATGCAGGATTCTCAAGATGTAAGCTATATTCTTAGGATCAAGCTTTTGCAAGATCAGGTTAAAAGGAAAATAGGCTTATCTTAATAATTCTACATTGATAAAGTTTTGACCAGGTTTGGTATGCATAACTCAAAGAATGAGTTCTTGCTTTATTGATATGGATTGCTCTCTCTAGTAAGTAGTTTTCCAAGACTAGCAAAGGAGATTGAGCAAATGAGACTGAAACTATATGCTTTGGCATATGAGAGTCTCATATATGCCATGGTCTATACCAAATAGGACATCCGCTACATTGTAGGGATAGTCAGATGATATCAGTCCAATCCTGGACTTGATAACTGGTCTGTTGTGAAAAATATCATTAAGTATCTAAGGAGAACCAATGATATCATACTCATTTATGGATGTGATGATATGGTCCTAGTCAGGTATGCTAGTTCTGATTTTCATTCAGAAGTAGATACTATGAGGTTCATGACTTAGTGTATGTCCACTTAATGGAAGGGAAATCAGTTGGTAGATTGTTAAGCAGATTTCAACTGCTGACTCAAACCTGCAGGTGGAATACATTGTAGCCTTAAAGGCGGCAAAGGAAGCCTATTGGTTTGATCTCATTGATTTAGAGGTTGTGGAGTATACTAGCCTGCCTATTGAGCTATGTTGTGATAATAGTGCAGAAGTAGTCCAAACCAATGACCCAAGGTTCTATAAAGGAACAAGATACACTGAGAGGAAGTATCATATTCTACATGATATTGTCCGACAAGAAAATGTACTTGTAGCTAGAACATTGCATTGGAATACAACTTTGTTGATCTATTATCAAAGGTGTAATTGATCAATAATTTTGATCATCATCTGGATAACATTGGAGTTAGGTGCAATTTGAATTGGCTATGAGGGCAAGTGGGAGCTATTGGGATTTATATGCCCTGGCATAGCAAATTCCTGTTTGGATTAAAGTGACATATGTTTCTGAAGTTTCTGAAATATTTATGTTTTATATAATTGGTGAATTCAATGTATTATATTTCGATTCATTATAGAATTGATAGTGTCCATTTGATTACAAAAGATATTTATATATATGTATGTGATGGCAATCAATGCATAATATATAAATAATAATCATAAATGGTTCATAGTCGGTAATTATGGATGGACTCATAATTAATTAAGATTTGAACTGGATCCGCGTTAGGTTGAGATATATTGCGAGAGTCGTCGTATGCAATTAATAATTACTTTGATTTGTTCGGCGGATTCTTCGGGATCCTTAGACCGACACTTTGGGTAGTTATGTAATTAATAGTTAGAAGGTTATATTTTCAATATTTGCATCATTACTACTTGTATTTATTTTGTATTGATTATGGTTGATCACAAAGCAAATTTGAAGGCCTTCGTGTGTTTTTAGACAAAATGATTTATTATATATTTATTTATTTAAATTATTATTTTTGTCAAACAAATGTTTTATTGTGATCGAGTCGGAAATAATCAAAGGTACCAAAATAAATATATTAATTAAGTAATCGGATTGATGGCTTTATTTATCCGATAATTAATTATGCATAGAGGGGTCAAAGTGCAATATTGACTTAGAGGTTATTTATTATTTAATTGGAATTCAATTAATTTCTTTTAGTGGAGTAGAAATTAATTTATGAATTAATTGAATTGAATCCATGGACAAGGCCAATTATTAATTCATTGTAGCCAATAAAATAATAAGCCTAATGGATTCTCACTCATAGCCCAACTTGATATTGGAATCATATTAGATTTGAAACATGTGAATTAGAGATTAAGAAGGATTTGTTGTTTCTTTTTCTTTATCTTTATGTTGCCTATAAATATACACAGTCTATGTGTATTTTAGGTATGATTTTTATAAGAAGGAAAAAGGAATATATATTCTCTCTCTAGAAAATTAGGGTTTATGTTCTCATCTAATGGAGGTTCCCACAAGCCTATTTTTCCAAGGTCATTCACGGAGGCATATGAGTGATTCCTAAAGGCAAAACAATTACCAAGAAGATGGAGATCCAAGGAGAAGGCATCTTGCTAAGGGATCTACAATAAGTGAGAACATTCACTTTAGAGGAAAGATTTAAAGGTTTACTCCGACCTTTGATGTAAGTATTCAATCCATTAATTGAATGATACATCATATTTTTATTTTTGCATAAAACTTGTCTCTATGTGATGAATCAAGATCTATGAATCAAAATCCCTCGAAAAGTTTTTAAAACTTGCACGTTTCCTAACAAAAATAGGTCAGGCAGTAGAGTTGTTTAATGACATGGGTGCAAAAGGATTTCGACCAGATACAGTTACTTGTGGAACGATTATAAATGGGTTGTGCAAAACAGGGAACACCAGCGCGGCTATTGAGTTGGTTAAGAAGATGGAAGAGAGAAATTGGGAAACCAATGTCATCCATTATTGGTAGCTGAGGCCTTTGACTTCTTTTCGGAAATGATCAGTAAAGGCATTTCACTAGATGTTGTCACTTACAACAACTTAATCCTTGGCCTATGCAATTCAAACCAGTGGAAAGAGGCTACCAAATTGTTGAATGAAATGGTGAATAAAAAAATCAAACCGAATGTAGTAACCTTTAATATATTGGTGGATGCAATTTGTAAGGAAGGGAAGGTTGCAGAAGCAGTACAAATAGTTGAAGGGATGATTCAAAGAAGTGAGGAACTTGATATAGTCACTTACAATTCATTGATGGACGGATATTGTTTGCAAAGCAAAATTCATGAGGCAAAGAAGATATTTGATTTGATGGTTGGTAGGGGTTGTGCCCCTGATATTCAAAGCTATAACATCTTGATTAATGGATATTGTAAGAAGCAAAGAATGGATGATGTTCTCAGACTTTTTCACGAAATTTCCCAGATGGGATTGGTTCCTATTACTGTTACTTACACCACTCTTACAGGTGGTTTCTGCCGTGCAGGAAAACCTGTAGTTGGGCAACAACTTCTGAATGAGATGCGAACCCATGGCCAACATCCTAGTTTTATAACATACCGTACTTTGGTAGATGGATTGTGTAAGAATCAATGTTTGGCTGAGGCAATGACCTTGTTTCAAGACATGGAAAAAAGTGGATTACATCCTGATATTGTGGTTTACAGCATCCTCATTGATGGTTTGTGCAGAGCTGGAAGCATTAAAGATGCAAGGGAACTTTTTTATAGTCTTCCTTCCAAAAGGTTGCAACCTGATGTTCACACATACAGCATTATGATCAATGGACTCTGTAAGGAAGGGTTGTTAAGCGAAGCAAACATGTTGTTTAAGAAAATGGAAGAGAGTGGTTACTCACCAGATGGTTGCAGTTACAATATAATTGTGCAGGGATTTCTTCGAAACAATGAGACATTAGTGGCAATGCAACTTCTTGAAGAAATGGTTGAGAAGGGGTTCTCTGCTGGTTTAGGTACGGTGAGCCTTTTGTTGGATTTATCAAATAATAGTGGATTGGATCAGTCACTTTTGGAGACGCTCAATAAGTTTCTATGATTTCTATTGGGTTCTCTTATATTTGTTGGCCAATAGGTGGAAGATTCATATTTGTTGGCCTTGCAGTGTGCTGTATGTACATCTTATTTATGTTTTATATATTGACAGACATATACTAGGAGTGCATTTTGCAGCTTAATACTGTGGTTTCAATGTTATAGCTAGTTTGCATGACGAGTTGCAACTTGTATAGCACGAGGACATGAGTGGATGGTACCCTATTCACTTAAGCAGAAAATTCATCGGTGGTAGCAACACACACTTTTCCTAGTATCTACACGTTCCCTTCATAGCTATTTGATTTGATTAGATGGTGTGATGGAAATGACACCTTCTTAATTTTTTTTTTTTAATCCTAACAAATTAGGGAGACCCGCTCAGGTAACTGGCTACTCTACCAACTACGTCACTAGGTAATGGTAATGAATGCAGACTTATTTGATTGCTGCTTCTACTTGACCAAAACTTCTTCCAGCAAGCACAAATTCTTATCTAATCCTTAACATTGGCTCTGTTTAGTAGCTACGGACATCATAATCACTGCATACTAACTAAACAACCAACACAAGTTCAACATTGATCTTGACTTGGCTGGCATGGGCATGAAGGACTCAAATGTTAGTTTATACTTTACAATAGTGATCCCACACTTAAAAAAAAAAAAAAAAAAAAAAAAAAAAAAAAAGGAATTACTCATGATTTTGCAATGTCATAACTTCGACGGAGATAGAGTTGCAAATGAAAGTTTAAGAGAAAAAGTAGGTGTGACATTCATTAAGGAAAAAACAAGAGACTCAGTGATATTTCGTGAGGTGAGGAGGAAATTTAATTTTTGAAAGGTAATAGAAAGGAATGTGGACTCCATTGGAATTAGAAGAATATTGATGATGAACAACTTTGGTGCTTTACGCTTGCGCTGTTGGGGTTTATGGTGCCTTTCAAGTCAATAATTGAATATATTCAACATATTTTATTAATAGATATCTAATTTGTATAGTTTGCATGTTTTTATACATATATGGTAAATGCTTATATTGATTGACTATATACTTAAGTCACACTCTTTTGACAAATATTAATGATTTACGTGCATCTATGATAGTCCATTTGATATGTGGTGAACTAATTCAATTCAGACCGTCATTAAGATTTCTTTGCAATATTTAATACACTGTTGTGGAACTATTTCTTAATTGGAGAGTCTGAGTTGAATATCCTGAGACCATTGGTCTCGGTAATCACAAAGCGATGTATAAGCAAAAAGATTATTAACAGTGACATAAAATTCACACATTTGTTTGTCAAGATTGACGGGTAATAAAAGGCTTATCGACAATAACATAAAAAACGAGGCATTTAGAAAAGACGCGTTTTGTGAGTTTTTATTTTTATTTTTTATATTTTATATGTAGGATCCACTAATTCCACAAAGAGAGGTAAAAGGGAGGAATTAATGCAATGGGCCAAACCTAGCCCAAACCACTCGCCACAAGACTCGCCCCCACTGCAGCGAGTTAGGTCAATTATTTTTTTCGCCTTGCAAATGAAATCTTAGGTGCAGAAACATGTCCGAAGAATAAAATAGCCAACAACCTTCAGGTGACTTGTTTTTATATATTCACAGACATATATGTGTGTGTGACTGTGTGTATATATATATAAGAGAGAGAAAGAGAGGGCTGAAAGATGATTAAAAGAAGTGTTATTGCTTCTTCAAAGTGTAGATATGGTGGTGCTTTCTCTCTTCATAAAGGTATCTGTAAGTCTGCAACTTCTTTTAAGCATTGTGTTAATTTCTTCATTGATTATCCATTTGCTTGCAACAATTTAAGGGCTTCGTTTCATTCCCAAACTGGTAGTCAAACCCGATTTATGCAGACTGTCAGAAATCAATTCAGATTTGAGTTCACAAACCTTAATGATGCACTGGCAATGTTTGATGAAATGTCTCAAATACAACCTCTTCCTTCAATTGTGCATTTCAATAAATTGTTAGGGGCCATTGTGAGAATGAAACATTACACCACTGCTATTTCTTTGCTTAAGCAAATGGAATCCACAAAATGGTAAAGCCAAACGAGTATACTCTAGGCATCTCAATGAATTGTTACTGCCATTTGAATCGGGCGGATTTGGGTTTCTCTGTTCTGGGGAGAACTTTGAAGCTTGGTTATGAAGTGAACAGTGTGATGCTCAACACTTTGATGAAGGGACTCTGTAGGGAGGATAAAATAGGTCAGGCAGTAAAGTTGTTTAATGACATGGGGACAAAAGGATTTCGACCTAATACAGTTACTTGTGGAACGATTATAAATGAGTTGTGCAAAACAGCGAACACCAGCGCGGCTATTGAGTTGGTTAAGAAGATGGAAGAGAGAAATTGGGAAACCAGTATCATTGTCTATAACATGATCATTGACAGTCTTTGTAAGGACAGATTGGTAGCTGAGGCCTTTGACTTCTTTTCAGAAATGATGCATAAAGGCATTTATCCAGATGTTATTACTTACACCTCGTTAATCCATGGCCTATGCAATTCAAACCAGTGGAAAGAGGCTACCAAATTGTTGAATGAAATGGTGAATGAAAAAATCAAACCGAATGTTCTTACCTTCACTATATTGGTGGATGCAATTTGTAAGGAAGGGAAGGTTGCAGAAGCAGTAGAAATAGTTGAAGGGATGATTCAAAGAGGTGAGGAACCTGATACAGTCACTTACAATGCACTGATGGACGGATATTGTTTGCAAAGCAAAATTCATGAGGCAAAGAAGATATTTGATTTGATGGTTGGTAGGGGTTGTGCGCCTGATATTCAAAGCTATAACGTCTTGATTAATGGATATTGTAAGAAGCAAAGAATGGATGATGCCCTCAGACTTTTTCACGAAATTTCCCGGATGGGATTGGTTCCTGATACTGTTACTTAAAACACTCTTATAGGTGGTTTCTGCTGTGCAGGAAAACCTCTAGTTGCACAACAACTTTTAAATAAGATGCGATCATGTGGCCAACATCCTAATTTTATAACATACCGTATTTTGCTAGATGGATTGTGTAAGAACCAATGTCTGTCTGAGGCAATGACCTTGTTTCAAGACATGGAAGAAAGTGGATTGCATCCTGATATTGTGGTTTACAGCATCCTCATTGATGGTTTGTGCAAAGCTGGATGCATTAAAGATGCAAGGGAACTCTTTTATAGTCTTCCTTCCAAAAGGTTGCAACCTGATGTTCACACATATAGTATTATGATCAATGGACTTTGTAAGGAAGGGCTGTTAACTGAAGCAAACATGCTGCTCAATAAAATGGAAGAGAGTGGTTGCTCACCAAACAGTTGCACTTACAACATAATTGTGCAGGGATTTCTTCGAAACAATGAGACGTTAAGGACAATGCAACTTCTTCAAGAAATGGTTGAGAAGGGGTTCTCTGCCGATTTATCTACTGTGAGCCTTTTATTGGATTTATCAAATAATAGTGGATTAGATCAGTCAGTTTTGGAGATGTTCAATAAGTTTATGTGATCTTTATTGGGTTTGAAAGTTTCATATTTTGTCCGCCTTGTAGCGTCCTGTACGCATGGCCTATTGATGCTTGCATCAGTGTCCTCTTCATCATAGTCCTACACAGGATTTGCAAGCAATGTAAATCTGAGATTGGGGTGACTCCCTGAAAGATTTGGATATTAATTGTTTTTATGATGTGATATGTTATACGGGAAAGCATACTCAAGGATTGGCACTCAACTAATGTATTTGCTTTCACTCTGTCACCTTGGAATGTTGTTCTAGATAAATCTTGCAATACAAAAGGTTGAGTAGTTCTATTAATCGTGCCTCGTCGTACTCCTTTTCAAACTTATGCTGCTTTTCCACATACAAGGACACACAAAAATGATTAAACTATACATTAATTCATGATATTTAGCATCAGATTGAAACTTAGAATTAAAATAAATAAATAAATAAACACAACCAGATACTTATATTACCTTTCATATTTTTCGTCAGGAAACTTAGAATCAAATTTTTTTAATTATTATTTTAGGCTTTGCTTCTAAAAAAAATTCTTGATTTTCGTAAATTAAGAAAAACTGAGGTAAAGACGTCAATATTATTTTATATGGAGTATATATATATATATATATAATATAATATAACAATTATAAAATTCAAAAGACAAAGAAGAAGAAAATTATTCAAATATGAATGTTAAAAAAAAGAATTTTAAGAGTAAAAGTATAAAAAGAAAAAGGAAAGAAAAATTTTAAGAGTAAAATGAAAAAGTTAAAAAGTTTCAATTGAGGAAGGAAATTTTGATTTTTTCTATTAAGAAAATTTAAGGAATTTGAAAATTAAAAGAAAAAATAAAAAGATAATTTTAAGAATCACAAAATTCAGGGGGCACTGTATATTTTTTCATATATATGGAAAAAAATTTTAAAAAATTATCACAAATATTAGAGAGTGCGGGCCAACTCAGGAGGGGCACGTGCCCCCCTAGGCCTTCATTGGCTTCGTCTCTGCTTGTTACATTTACTTTTCCATCCGAATCTGATGTGTGACGTGTAACCGCTATCAACTCAAATTGTGAATGTAGTGTAGTTGGAGGTCAATGATAGAAATGAGTTGAGAAGTTCAGCTCATTTACCTTGGACAAAAAGCCTTTCATAGAGCGCCCAGTTTTGATTTGAATTTGAGATGCGGTATATGGCTATTAAATTTGAGATGTGGTATATGGCTATCGAAAGACAGAGATATGATACCTTTGCGAGTACATTGTGCACTTTCCATTTCTGCATATTTTATTGGTCATGTAAGGTGACTGCTTTGTCAATTTCTCTCTTTTTGGATATACGGCTACTTTAGAAATATAAAGATGCAGAATGGAAATTAACCAATAATGAGGCATATAATTTTGCTTGGATACATAGTTATAGGCTTTAAATTATTGTCCTTTGAGCATGTTAACATCAATAATATTAGTATTAATGCTCTTGTTTTCTTCGTGTTTATAAATTGATCAGGGTGTTCTCCGTGTCGCAAAGGATCCGAATGTTGGCCTACTTGGGGGGTAACAGGAGTGCATCTAGTCATCACCTTTGTTAACATTGCCTTAATAAATTTTGTAACTTAGATGTTATAGCTAGTTAGCATGACATGTTGCAAAATGAAACTTGTATGGCATGAGAACATGAGTGGTTTGTGCTTTGTTTTGTAGTTTGTGGATGGTACCCTCTATTCACTTTAAGTAGAAAATTCATCAATGGTAGCAACATACACTTTTCCTGGTCTCTACACATTCCCTTCTCTAATTTGATTAGATGTTGTGATGGAAATGAAAGTGTAAATGGACTTATTATTATTATTATTTTCCTGGGCAAATTAGGGGGAGGGGGACTCAAACACGGACACATTCGTTCGGAAACTAAGCGCTCTACCAATTAGGTCATTGGATAATGCCCATGAATGTGGATTTATTTGATTGGTTCTCCTACTCAACCAAAACTGCTTCCTGCAATCAGAAGTTCTTCACACCTACTCTGTTTAGCAGCTAAGGACATCATAATCCTGTTTCACTGCATCCCAACTAAACAGCCAACACAAGTTCAACATTTGATCTTGACTTGGCTGGCGCGGCGGACACAATGGACTCGAATGTTAGTTATCTCCTCACTTTAAAAAAGGAAAAAGACTTGGACATGATTTTTTCATGTCATAACTTGGATGGAGATAGAGTTGCAAATGAAAGTTTAAGAGAAAAACTAGGTGTGGCATTCATTAACGAAAAAATAAGAGACTCGGAGATACTATGTGAGGTGAGAAAGGAAATTTAATTATTAAAAGGTAAGAGAAATGAATGTGGACTCCATTGGAATAAGACAAGGATGTTGATAACGAACAACTTTGGTAGGATGTTAACTTGTGTTGTTGGGTATTTGGTACCCTTCAAGCCAAATACATTAATGGATCGGATATCTAAATTTTATAGTTTGCATGTTTATATACATATATGATAAATGCTTGTACTGATTGACTCTAGAGTTAAGTCACACTCTCTTGATAAATACTAAGGGTTAGTTTGGTGTGGTTGAATGAAATAAAGTGGGAATGGAATGAATCAGAGAATGGAATAAGACCATTCTCATTCCCATGTTTGCTTGCGACATCATATTTTTGTAAAACATATATAAATATGTATATATATATGTAGCCGACATTTCATTAAATGTTTTTTTATTCATTTATTTATTTTTATTATTTTTAAAGTGAAAATAGAATGGTCATTCTTTTAGTTTGAAAGTGAAATAAATTAGTAGGAATCACCCTTCTCAGAGAATGGGATTCCAACTTTAAAGTAAGTTACCAAACTAAAGAATAAAAACAAAAGCATTCCATTCCCACTTCATTTGATTCCATTTACTCACGCCAAATATGGCCTAAATAATTTACCTGCATTTATAATGGTTCATTTGACACGCGGTGAACCAGTTTAATTCAAATTAGTTTCTGAAATTACAATTTTCAATTGGTGCAAATAAGAACTTTTGAAGAAATTAAATCACAAATTAACTAATGTACCCTTGTAATAAAATAAAGAGTAAAATACAATAACATCCAATGAGATTTGTTAAAAAGACACACCTTGAAACAAAGACACCCTGTTTGATACAGTTACCAAGAACACTCCAATGATAATGAATTGATATTTTTATCCTTTGATTTTTATATTGCCTAATTTAAATGTTGAAATGAACCCAAATTCTTCCTTCTCCCACCTTCTTCCTATTCTCATCTTGTGTTTCATAACTATTCTTTTGTATTACAGGGAGATAGGAACAAACTGTGCAATTGTTTCTTAATGTGTTTGGCATGATTTTTTTAAATAATATAATAATTTTTGCAGCTTTTATCTTATAGCTATATGTTGTTTGATTTTATGAATTTGCCTGTTTAATTAAGGAAAAAAAAAAAAAAAGAATCAGATCACCATCACTGTTTATCTTGATACATCCTTCTTGTTGTATTTCTGGATTCCAAAAGAGGAGCCGTAACTGACATCCTTAGTGCAATCCGAGGGGAAAAGTTGATTAACATCCATAACACACCCACAAAAGGTTATGAAAGGATTTTAATGAAAATATATGTTCCCTATAATGATTGCTGCAGTTCTTTCCTCAGCCCCTTCCACAATTCCTCACCGCCGTCGTCTGACGCGCGCCAAAAGGCCACCAACCTCACTGCCGTCATATGACTCGCGTCTCAAGAGCCCACGCCACTGCGCGTAGATCTAATGCACTTTTCACGCGCGCGCACGCCTCACCTTCTTCAGCTACTCCAGGTCTTCTTCACACACTCTGCGTCGCTGCCCTCTGCCGCCGCCGAGCAGAGCATCTCCACCGTGGGTGGGTTCATCACCGCAAAGCATATCACCTCCACGGCTCACCGTGGGTGGGTTCATCACCACCTAGCAGAGCCTTGCTCGCTGCTGCAGCCCTTTTATTGTCGATCTCCATCATGCTTGACACCCTTCGCCGGACACTTTCACGGTCGTGTCGCCACCACCGTGCTCATCCTTCGCCGGACATATATATTTATTTATTTGCACAGATGGGTTTCTGTATATATCGATGTATAGAGAAAGGAAGAAGAAGGGCTATTAGGTCATTTAATTATTTTTTGATATTTTATTATTAAAATTAATCAAATAAAGTAGGACAAATTAGACTTGATACGTTTTAAAGCTATGTTTGGCTGTCAAATATAATATGAAGGTGTTTTTGTCCTAAAATAGACTAAGTTTTATCGGTGACCTTTTAACAAATCTTAAAGAGTGTTGTTATACTTTATTCAAAAATTAATTTACAATGATAAAATTAACACATTTGCTTTATGTCTTTTCGTTAGGGGTGAACAAATAATTGTCAATCCGGTCTGAACCAATCCAATCCGTGTGGTTCGATTTGATTTTCAGATCTCATGGTTCGGATATAATTTGAAAAATCTGCAATCCAGTGTCCGCGGTTCGGTTAACGGATTGGACCATGAAAAATCCGATCCGAACTGTTAACCGATCCGAACCGAACAGTTAACAAACCGAATTGTTAGGAAAACCGAACCGTTAACCGTTACTAAATAATATATTAATATTATATATATATATATATATATATATATATATATATATATACAATATATGAATATAATGATATATCGTATTTTTTTTTCTTCTTTACTCATTATTTTTTAATGTTAACCTAACCCTAATTCAGCGTTTCAGCCTCGTCTCTTCATTACGACATTTCAAGTTGTGCCTCCCTCATTAACTCAGCCAGTCAGCCTCTTCTTTTCTTCCAATCTCTCGCTTCTCCCAATCTCTCGCCTCTGTGACTGTGAGTCTGTGTCTCTGTGACACTCTTCGCCTTTCCCAAATTCCCAATCTCTCCCCTCCCAATCTCTTGTATCTCAATCCTACACCTTTCAAGTTTCAACCATCGTTCACCTGATTCGAAGCAATGGCGACCTCGGTGTATCGAAGAAACGGCGACCTCTTCGACCGGATCTACCACTTTTCCGGGGAGTTCACAAGATATTTGAATGAATCTACTTATTCTCCTCTTCTCTGAATAGTTTTTACATAGATCTACTTAATTTTATGATTTTATCTACATGTATATGTATAAATGCATATTTCTAATTTTTTATGCTGGATCTTTCTTCCTCCTTTCTCAGTTTTTTGTTTATATGGAGTGTTTGGTTACTGAGAAAATGTTTTAAAAAGGGAAAATTTAAGTTTCATTCTTTAACTTGTATGTGCAATCAAACGAGAGGTTAAAGTTGCTTTGATGCGTTCTTTCTGTTCGTCTTCTCTAATATTCTGCATCTGTTCTTGGGAATTAAATTTTTAAAAATTATAGATAAAATTGTAGATGAAAGTGTCTCTGTTCTTGGGAACAAAACAAGTGCATATGGAACCCACCAATAGTAATACGTACTATGTAGTGTGTGGTACCTACTACTTAGCGTGTTATGGTTATAACATCTGGTGGTATGGTTTATACAGTGTCTCTCATTATAGATAAATTTTTACCTAACCACAATTTCTTCTTGTATGCTCGTTGAGCTTTTTCTTCCTTTTGTTTATATGTAAATGAAATCTTTTAATTATCTCACTAATTTATATATTTGTTCACATTTATTTATATATTTATTTTTGCTTAGGTAAATGGTTTAGTTGACACTGATATTATTTCAATTTTTTTTCAAGGTATTGTATGTGAACTGGGTTGCAAATTTAATTTGTTCCTATTCTGCTTTGTTTTTTCTTCTGTTTCATCAGATGATTGATTTTCAAAAGTGGGTTGCAATAACATTGTTTTTTCTTCTGTTTCATTAGTAGATTATAATTACTTTATGGCAATCTTCCATTAATTTTTTGTAACAATTTCTTTTTCTGGCAAATGACAACCGAAGAAGATACTAATGTTTCAAGGCCTGAAGTTACTGCTGCTGGCACCAATGATGATGATTTAAATACGCAGGTAAGTCCTACCAAAAAACGTTTCATATCTGATGTTTGGGACCATTTCACAAAAGAGAAAGGCCCTAACTGTACTAAGTCAAAATGTAATGTAAAATGCAACTATTGTAGTGCATCTTATTCATGGTCTAGTGGAAATGGGACAAGTACATTGAGGAACCACATAAGTAGATGCCAACAATATCCATTTAATGTTGACAAGAAACAAAAACTCATTTCGTTTCAGTCAACTACTGAAGGAGAGGGTGTTATGGTTTTTTGGAAATTTGATCAGGAGTTGTGTAGACAAGCACTTACTAAAATGATTATCATTGATGAATTACCTTTCAAGTTTGTTGAGCGTGAAGGTTATCGTTATTTTCTTAGTGTCTTGCAGCCAAAATTCAAATTGTTGTCACGTTTTACTGTGGTTAGGGACCATTTGAAATTGTATGCTATAGAAAAGAAGAGGTTGAAAACCTTAGTGAATCAACTCAATCAAAGAATTTGTTTCACCACTGATATATGGACGTCAATTCAAAATCTTTCTTATATGTGTCTCACGGCTCATTTCATTGATAAGAATTGAACCTTACACAAAAGAATTCTGAATTTTTGTAGTCACAAGGGTAAGGAAATTGGTCGTGTAGTTGAGACTTGTTTGCTTGATTGGGGTGTAGACAAATTGTGTACACTCACGATTGATAATGCTAGTTCAAATGATCTTGCGGTTGCATATTTGAAAGAAAAAAAGCTTGCTAGGAATGTTGGCTCTTTCCTTTTAGGTGGTGAATGCTTTCATATGAGGTGTTGTGCACATATATGGAATTTGATTATGATAGATGGTTTGAGTGATGTAAATGGTTCAATAGTTCGAATTCATGAGGCTGTGAAGTATGTTAGGAGTTCTCCACAATGGGGAGAGCATTTTCAAGCATGTGTGAAGAGGGAGAATATAACATTTAAGTCACATTTGTGCCTAGATGTTTCAACTAGATAGAATTCCACATACCTTATGTTAGAGGTGGCTGTACAGTTTCAAAAAGCTTTTGAAAGGTTAGAAGATGATGATGTTCAATTCCTACCGGAAGTTAGTAATAAAGCTCCTTCTAGTACTGATTGGGAATATGCTCGAGTTTTGATTGTTTTTTTAAAAAAATTTTATGACGCTACTAACAAGCTTTCTGGATCTTTGTATGTTACTTCCAATAGATATTTTCATGAAGTGTTGGGAATTGAAAAGTCGTTAAATACGTGATCAAAGAGTCCCGATATTTGGTTAAGTAATATGGCATCAAAAATGAAAATTAAATTTGACAAATTTTGGGGAAGCATTGAAAAAGTGAACATGTTGGTGGTGCTTACGGTTGTGTCGGATCCTCGTTATAAATTGGAATTTGTGGAATTTTGCTATTCCCAACTTTATTCTCTTGAAATGGTTGAAAACCTTATGAAGAAGGTAATGGATACATTCAACAACATTTTTAGTGAATATGCAAAGTTTCATGCATTTACTTCAAGCTCTAGTGGAACAAGTAATATTGCAAATGAGGTGGGAGTTGATGATGGAAATGTAGAAGATGATTTTTCCTCTTTGTACATAAAGCGCAAGATACAAAAAGAAAGTTTTACTCCCAAGTCGAAAGTGGAAAACTATTTGGAGGAAGCTTGTGAAGATGTTGTTCCAGAATTTGACATCTTGAATTGGTGGAAGGTGAACGGAAGTATGTATAAAATACTTTTTGAAATTGCAAGAGATATTCTAGCTGTTCCAGTCTCTACTGTTGCTTCGGAGTCTGCTTTTAGCACTGGAGGTCGTGTGCTTGATCAATTCCGTAGTTCTTTAACTCCAAAGCTTGTGGAATGTTTAATTTGTACACAAGATTGGTTACGAGCTTCACCAATACCAATTGATGTTGAAGAAAAGTTGGACGAACTTGAACAATACGACTCTGGTAAGTGTTAACAATTTGTTACATTTTTATTCAATTTATAAATAAATATCATATGGTGGATTTTTAATTAAATTATGTTATTTTGTAGATGTGACTACAGTTTCAAATTCAGATTGAGAGCTAGCCTTGCTTGCTGCCATTTTCAGACTTGATATGCTACCATTTTCAGACTTGTTTTGCTGCTAGTCAAGACTGTTTTTTTTATTTTTTTTTTTATTTTTTTTTTATTTTTTTTATGCTAATGAGCTTCTGGGCTACTATTTAAGTATTTTGTTTTGTTCTATTTGGATAATTTATATTTCGTATTTTAATATTATTTTCACTTTCGGATGATTTACAATTTTTTTTTTTTTTTTTGTTATTAGGTAATTTAAGTTTGTGGTGGTATTTATAATTTTATATGTGTCAAATATATTTTGAAATTTTAGTGCTGTTACATAAATCTATTTATGTTATAATTGTTATAATTGAATGGACCATTATAATTGTTATAATTGAATGGGCTGTTATAAATCTTGTTGCAGATTGAATAAATAAATTTTTATAATGGGCTATAATTGAATGGGCTGTTTGAAATGCCCAATCAGCCCAATCCGGGGAACTGATCCGATCTGGGCCATAATTGAATGGGCTGTTTGAAAAGGCCCAATCAGTCCAATCCGGGGAACCGATCCGATCCGATCCATTAACTCACGAATCGGTTTGGTTCGGATTGAATACTCCCACGGATCGATTCGGTTTCAGTTTTAACCAATCCGTGGGGACCGGTTCGGCTTGGGATTTATCCCCAAACCGAACCGAACCGAACCGTGAACGGGCCTACTTTTCGTGATCGTGATAAGAACGTCCTGGGAAATAACTAGTACAATGACATACATGGCAGTCGGCAGTTATCAACGGCAGTTTCTATGCTGATATCTAGGAGTAACCGTTCTAGTTGGGGTTTGGGTTTAGGTTTAATGTTTCGGGTTCACTCTTGTGTTCGTGGCCTTGGGCCTTGCTGTTATTGCATAATATTTGGGCCTTGTTGTAGTTGAATAATCTTTGGGCCGCCTGTTGTTGGGCTGGTTGGACTCAAGTTCATGTACATTTTTATACATATATAATGTTGCTTAAAACATTCGCCTTGCTCGTATTGCAAATGAAATCTTAGGCGCTGAAACCTGTCCGAAGAATAAAATTAGCCAACAACCTTCAAGTGACTTGTTTTTATATATACACAGACATATATGTGTATATGTGTGTGTGACTGTGCGTATATATATAAGAAAGAGAAAGAGATGGCTGAAAGATGATTAAAAGAAGTGTTATTGCCTCTTCAAAGTGTAGATATGGTGGTGCTCTCTTCTCTTCATAAAGGTATCCGTAAGTCTGCAACTTCTCTTAAGCATTGTGTTAATTTCTTAATTGATTATCCATTTGCTTGCAACAATTTAAGGGCTTCGTTTCATTCCCAAACTGGTAGTCAAACCCGATTTATGCAGACTGTCAGAAATCAATACAGATTTGAGTTCACAAACCTTAGTGATGCACTGGCAATGTTTGATGAAATGTCTCAAATGCAACCTCTTCCTTCAATTGTGCATTTTACTAAATTGTTGGGGGCCATTGTGAGAATGAAACATTACACCACTGCTATTTCTTTGCTTAAGCAATTGGAGTCCTCTGGAATAGCTGAGCCAGACGCTTATACTCTAGCCATCTTGCTCAATTGTTACTGCCACTTGAATCGGGTCGATTTGGGTTTCTCTGTTCTGGGGAGAACTATGAAGCTTGGTTATGAAGTGAACAGTGTGATGGTCAACACTTTGATGAGGGGGCTCTGTACGGGGGATAAACTAGGTCAGGCAGTAAAGTTGTTTAATGACATGGGGGCAAAAGGATTTCGACCTAATACAGTTACTTGTGCAACGATTATAAATGGGTTGTGCAAAACAGGGAACACCACCGCAGCTATTGAGCTGGTTAAGAATATGGAAGAGAGAAATTGGGAAACCGATGTCATTGTCTATAACATGATCATTGACAGTCTTTGTAAGGACAGGTTGGTAGCTGAGGCCTTTGACTTCTTTTCGAAAATGATCCATAAAGGCATTTCGCCAAATGTTATTACTTACAACTCGTTAATCCATGGCCTATGCAATTCAAACCAGTGGAAAGAGGCTACCAAATTGTTGAATGAAATGGTGAATAAAAAAATCAAACCGAATGTAGTAACCTTCAATATATTGGTGGATGCAATTTGTAAGGAAGGGAAGGTTGCAGAAGCAGTTGAAATAGTTGAAGGGATGATTCAAAGAGGTGAGGAACCTAATATAGTCACTTACAATTCATTGATGGACGGATATTGTTTGCAAAGCAAAATTCATGAGGCAAAGAAGATATTTGATTTGATGGTTGGTAGGGGTTGTGCTCCTGATATTCAAAGCTATAACATCTTGATTAATGGATATTGTAAGAAGCAAAGAATGGATGACGTTCTAAGACTTTTTCATGAAATTTCCCGGATGGGATTGGTTCCTAATACTGTTACTTACAACACTCTTATAGATGGTTTTTGCCGTGCAGGAAAACCTTTAGTTGCGCAACAACTTCTAAATGAGATGCAAACCCGTGACCAACATCCTAATTTTATAACATACGGTACTTTGTTAGATGGATTGTGTAAGAACCAATGTCTGGCTGAGGCAATGACCTTGTTTCAAGACATGGAAGAAAGTGGACTGCATCCTAATATTGTGGTTTACAACATCCTCATTAATGGTATGTGCAGAGCTGGGAACATTAAATCTGCAAGGGAACTCTTTTATAGTCTTCCTTCCAAAAGGTTGCAACCTAATATTCGCACATATAGTATTATGATCAATGGACTTTGTAAGGAAGGGTTGTTAACCGAAGCAAACATGTTGTTTAAGAAAATGGAAGAGAGTGGATGCTCACCAGATGGTTGCAGTTACAATATAATTGTGCAGGGATTTCTTCGAAACAATGAGACATCAATGGCAATGCAACTTCTTGAAGAAATGGTTGAGAAGGGGTTCTCTGCTGATTCAGGTACTGTGAGCCTTTTGTTGGACTTATCAAATAATAGTGGATTGGATCAGTCACTTTTGGAGATGCTCAATAAGTTTCCGTGATCTCTATTGGGTTCTCTTATATTTGTTGGCCAATAGGTGGAAGATTCATATTTGTTGGCCTTGCAGTGTGCTATATGTATGTCTTATTTATGTTTGCGTCAGTGTGTCCATGAGAAGTACAAAGGAGAGAACCTAAGTTGGGTGATGTTGGGGAACTTAAGAAGAATGCCGGAGGGATTTGTATGGGAATGGTGTTTCAATGATCCCAAAGAGATTCGAGTTTCCAAGCTCTGAAATTTACGAAACAGTGTGTGCTTAACATCTCTGCCTTTGTCTGTCATGATGTTTCAAGAATGGCACCACATCAACTTCATTTTCCTTTCTTGTTTACACTTTGTACAGTGAGTGTATGCTGTCCCTACTTTTCCTCTTAATTGCTTAATGTTAATGATCTGGGTTGTGAGTTTCTGGAAGAGATGATGCCTCCTTTGGTCTGTAAGGTCATTATTGACAAAATTTTATGCCAAAACAATTGACTACCTTATATGGACTCTAGGATAGAATATTGATATTAATTAGAGGTTTGAACACACACACACACGCACACAAAATTATATGGGTAAATTCTCTGTTTTGGAATATAAAGTACATGGATTATAATAAAAACGAAATTGCAAAAGCAGTTATTCAAAGCACTGAACTTTGGAGTTAAAGAGTTCATTTTTTTGTTGATGGGGATGGATTTTTGCTGAAGGTGAAAGAAGCTACAAGAACAATGTTGTGGTAAGAAAACATGGTGTTTCAACATTTTTGAATCTTGCTTATATATGTAGTGAGAATTCCAGAAAATCATGAAATGAAAAAAACTATTAAGTTTTATGTTAGAAATTTTGATTCTTATAGAAGAAAATAAAATTTTATTAGCGAGCTTCAACTTACCGTGAGAAAATATCAAATCCTCACAACAATGACAATGTTGAACACATATCATTAACTTTATTTTAATATTTTTAAAATTTTGATATATTTTTAATATACCAACTAGGAAAAAAAATATATATATATATATTTGAAGTGTTTGGGAAGCAGCATAAAGAAATAAAAGAAATACAATAATGTTGCAACGGTGCTTTCCTAGTTAGCAAGAAGGATGGATATGAATGTGGGCCTTGTTATGGTGCAAAGCGTGCTCAATCAAGTAATTGTTTTTTCTTTTTTTTTCTTTTTCTTTCTTTCTTTCTTTTTCTTTTTCTTTTTCTTTTTTTTTTTTTTCTTTTTCTTTTTCTTTTTCTTTTGAGTGCATAGGTCTTTAAAGAATTTTGTGTATGTTGGGATTTGCCTAATAGCATCTTAAAAAGGAAGATTTATTTTGACTTGCTTGAAAACTTCCATCATATCATGAATTTTTTCCTATTGTCTTCCAAAGATGAATTCTCTCTCAATGCATACGGGAATGGAGCCTTTGGCTTGTAACATTTTCCTACTTGAGGAGATGATGAAGAAGATGCATGGAGGATTCTTAGTGGAACCACTTTCATCCAAGGAAGTAGGAGTAGGATTGGAAATGGGACGGGTGCTAACACTTGGTTACACTAGTTCACTATCTTCACTTGGCCTTTCTACCCTATTATCAATTTTTCTACCACTTCTCAAGGTGGTGATAGCTTGCACTTGCTCATGTGAAGGGCATCCTGATGTAGGATTTGCTTCAACCATGAAATGGGCCTTTGGGTTTCTCTTAGGTTGGCTAGGTAACTGTAATACCCCTAATTTAAAAGGATAGTCTCGGCATTTATTTATTATTTTTGTTGTATTTTTGCATGATTATTTGGTTTAATTATTTTATTTAATTGTTTACCTGTGTGACGTGTATTTAATTGGTATCTATTTATTTGTTTAAATTGCATTTTATTGCATTTTACTTTATTTAATTGATTATTAAAGGTTTTAATTTAGGAAGTAATTTAGGAAGTATTTTAATTAACTATTTTATTTTCATAATTGAGGGTTTAGTTTCTTTAGCCGACACAGGATTTAATTAAGTTCTATGGGCCGGTTAGGATTTAGTTAGGGCTCTAATTAATTTAGGGTTTTGGTATAACTCTATAAATATATGGGTATACGTCTGCCGAGGGTTTCTAAAACCCTATTCACCATATTCCCGTATACAGTAAAGAGAGAAGTTGAGAGAACAGAGCGTCGTAACGGTCTGTCAAGGAGAATAACAGAGAGGACCAAGGGAGGTGTTTGGTGGATTAGATCAGAACCAAAGGAGGCTAGAAGGTAGTCAGTGGTTGCCGGAAAGCTTAGAACAACGGCGTCAAGGTTCTGTTTATAAAACTGTACAGGCAAGTTCTTTTCTTTCTCCTTCCCTTTGGCTTGTGTTCTGTGCACCTAGACAGTCTCTAGGAGATTAATTGGCCTTAAACTGAACCATACATGTTTGATATATGATTTGCTTGATCGTTTTATCTGTGCAAAATTTATTTACAAAATACTTATAGCGCGTATGTTTTCTTGACTCTGTTTTGGCATAACGTCCATTTTGAATCTTACTGAAATCAACCAAGGTCTGACTGGATACTAGACGTAAATTAAGACTTCAAATTTAAATTGGAGAAAGAACAGAGGGGTTGGGATAAAACTGATCTTGCAATTTAGTTTCAGTACCGTTCTTCAACAACGCTAGTTTAAATGGCCTGATTAAACTCTGTAATTGCTTTCAAAACTATTGTAAACAATCTTGGGGAATGCTTCTAGACTAAATTACGAGTCCTAAGATTAGTTTAGAGACTAACAGAGGGTTAGGAATAAGCCGGAGAAGGAGCACAAGAGCTGAAACGACGCATCGGGAACGAAGGCTCTCAGAGGAAGTGAGAGCCGGCTCCATGGAAGTGGGAGCCGGCTCCCACAACAAAGTGGAGCCGGCTCTAGGGAGTCCTAGAGCCGGCTCTAGGCTGGAAAAGAGCCTGCTCCAAATTCTGGAGCAGGCTCCCTTGGTATTTTTGATTTATTTTACGTTTTTTTTTTTAATTTTCTACATACTATGTTCACTGTTGGAGCATGGAGACTGTTTGAATGAATTTGGAAATTTACAGAGGGATCAAGGAATGAATTTTGAGTGTTATTAAGACCCTAAATTGAGTAAAGTTTAATTCTAAGTTGTCGGGACAAACAGTGTAAAAATTAAGGCACTTAACAAATGGAATTGAATTAATGGTTGAATTAAAATTCAGCAATTTGATGGAACATAATGTGTTTATAAAACTTGTTTTAGAATGCATTCAAGTGCATGATAGGGTCATTTAATTATTAATTTTGATCTATGCATGCTTAGGAGGCTAGTTGCGGAATTATTAAAGTGTTTACTGCAACTATATGGTTAATGCTTGGATTTAAACTGCTGAAATATTTAAACAATCTTCTGAATTGTTTTAGCAATTTATTGGTTAATAATAGGATTATTTAACCTATTCACATACATGATGGAGTCCTTGACATATTAAATTTGGTCTATGCATGCTCTGGATGTTAGTTGTTGATTTGTTAAATCGTCTCCTGCAATTATATGGTTAAATGCTTGGATTTAAATTGCTGAAGCTTTAAATAGTTTTCTACAATTGTTTGGATGATAGTTTTTGGTCTATAAATTATTGAACTGTTATATATGTTGTAATTTACATGGATATGGAGGATAGTATGTACCGGTATGGGACGGTGACATACTAGGGACGGTTTAGCTCAAAACGCATAAACCTAACCTAATGGATTAATGGAATGGATTGAAAGATATCGAATCCTAATTGTGACTAAGTCAGATCAGCTGTAACCAAGTTGGATGACTTCCTGGATTAACGGATGGTAGTTAAGTCATATCAACTGAATAAGTGGAGTGACTAACTAGTTGGTTTATTGTAGGTCAGTTTAATAAATAGTTGAACTGCTTACCCTGGATTTGAACGGACTTTATATATATGTTTATGGTACCACGAGTTGAGCTTGAGTCTCAGACTCGTTGGTTAGGGTGCGTATATGCAGTGGATGCGTAGCTGGTTATAATAGGTTGAGGTGTACCCTGTTAGGTCTAGGTACTCATGCCCACCTTTGGGTGCGTATTCGCATGTTGCCTTCTATTCAGGTTGAGACCCCTATTATAGACTAGTGAATGTCCCTTAGTGTGGATATATTTATATGTATGGACTAGATAGATATTGTGAGGTGTCTACGGTGTATCTGCGTATCGGGTCACTGTATGGATTGCAGTTAGATTAGAACTTGCTCGTGGGTCTGACCCACTCCTTTATTATTCTTTTCAGGTACAGGACGTTTCCAGCCTTAGAGCTTGATCGTGCTTGTCGAGGACAGCCTCACCTTCATCTGATTACGTAGGATTTCTCTCGATATTTCTAGCATTATCTATTTTCAGTTTTCAGTTTCAGTTGAACTTTTGGTTAGGGGTTCATCAGTGGATTCCCAAGTTGTAACCTTGAAGTTTTGGAGGATTGGATTTTCATTTTTTAGTTGTCCATGGAGGATTTTATAATTAATGTTTCTTTCAGTTTTATTCCATCACTTTTGTTTCATTTTGTCATCTGTGTTCGTTTTAAAATACTTTAATTGTTTGATATTCCCTCGGGTTTGGGCCTGGGCCTGATCAACCCGTGTCTCGGATCCGAGGGGAGAGCACTCCAGGTTCAAGTGTCTCTAGGACGTTTCGTAATAAGACTTCCGCATAGCGTTTTGTTTATATAGAGCTTATGTTTAGGATTCGTTGAATTCTTTTACGGTTCGTTTAAACTCGTACTGATGTCTGTCTTTCTATGTTAACAGCATGGTTAACACTGGAAGAGGACAGAACATGAACAGTCGACAGAGGAGAGCGGCACGTAGACAGCAGGAACGTCTACAACGTCGACAAATGGAAGAAGAGCAGCAAATGCCAAGGTTTCAGGAGGAGCAGGAGGAAGTTCAACAGACTCAGGGTCGGGACAGAGATTCAGAGATTCCTCCACACCTCAATGACCTTGTTGCTCTGGCTATAGAGGCTGGGGTTACAGCTGCACTCCGGAACCAGCCACAGGTTCAGTAGGCACCTGTACCAGCACCAGTGGTTCAGACGGATTCTTGGGGAAAGGCAAGGAGCTCTTTCACAAAGGGGAGTCCACCTGTGTTCTCAAGCTCCACCGATGCGAGAGCATCTCACCAGTGGAAACAAGACATTGAGCGTCATCTTCGTTTGGTTCAGTGCACGAAGGTTCAAAAGCAAATGCTTGCTACTTTCAAGCTAGTTGGGGATGCACTACAGTGGTGGGAGTCAGTTACCACCCCAGAGGAGAGGATGGCATTGTCTTATGATGAGTTCAGTGTTCGCTTTGATGAGAAATATTTTCCCTATGCAGTCAGGGCAGCTATGAAGACCGAGTTTCTAAGTCTGCAGCAGGGAAACATGACAGTGGCAGAGTATGAGCAGCAGTTTACACGCTTGTCTCTCTTTGCACCGGAGGAGGTGGATACAGAGGAGAAGAAGCGTAACAGTTTCGTCAAGGGACTGATGTGGTCTATCAAGAGAGCTATTACAGGTAGTCCAGCCTATACTACCTATGCTCAGGTGGTAGACGCCGCGCTACAACAGTATCAGTT